AAAAGCATGACCAAAATATATTCTCTAATATTTTTCATCGACCTTTCAATTCTACGATAGTCTGTTATTTACCAGTATAACCTTAAAATTCTTAAAACTTTTATGTGCTAGGGCTGGGGATTTAGCTCAGTGGTTCTGGTGCATGCTAGGTAAGCGCAAGGTCCCAAGTTCGATCCCTGGTACCAAAAAAACCCCAACTTTTATGTGCTAGTGCTAGTCTAGGACCAAAACTCTTTTTTTTTTTTTTTTTCCAAAACTCTTTTTAAGTGCTGGGATTATAGGCGTGTGCCACCACGCCTGGCTCCCAAATATAAAAATTCTATTTCAGCTGTTATTTCACTATGTGCATTACTACATAAAGTAGTCTCACCCTTTATAACATCATCATCTGTATTTTTTGTCTAGGCTGTAAGGCTGTTTTGTTTGGTTTGGTTTTATTTTTGTTTTTATGAGACAAGGTCTTCCTATGTAGGTCAGAGTGGTCTCAAACTCACTATGTAGCCCAGGCTGGCCTCGAACATGCAGCGATACTCCTGTCTCAGCCTCCCAAGAGCTGGGATAAGGCATTTGTTTTAGAATGTTAAAGTTTGAGTACCTGTCCCAAGCTTAAACATCTAAATTAGTAACTTTAGCTAAATTTTTCATAGTCCTAATTTCATACTGCTTGAAAATCATATACTTATATTGCCAAGATAACAGTTTTTAAATGTATCCACTCAATAATTTGCACTAAATGAAACTAAAAATCTATGTTTTCATAATTTATCATTTAAAAAGGACTGTTTAACACTTGTCATATTTTTTCAACTAATGAAAAAATAGTTTTTTAATCATTTCATTTACAAGACAGGTCATTAAGACTGAAGTTATTTGAACAAATTTTATAGGCAGTGAACCAAATTTTGTGTTCTTTTCATTAGCCGGTGAATAAGAAAGTAGATTAAGTGTAGAATGTATAATTTATGTGATTTTTTTTTTTCGTGAACAGGATCTTCTTTTTTTTTTTTTTTGGTACCGGGGATCGAACTCAGGTCCTTGCACTTGCGAGGCAGGCGACGGAACCACTGGGCTAAATCCCTGGCCCAAGGATCTTCTGATTATACCTTTTATAACTCAGGCTGAGTAGCAGTATCTTTTGGGAGGGGGTGGAACTGGTGATTGAGCCCAGGGTCACACTGAGCTATATCACTAGCTCTTCTTTTTTTAAAGTTTTTCCCAGGCTTGGCTTGAACTTAGAATCCTCCTGTCTCAGCCTCCCAGAGTCCTGGGATGACAAGCATGCTCCAGCACCCCTGACTTGGGTACTGTTATCCTTGATTAAAATTTTTACTTTTCTGGTTCATTGTTTATAGTAAAAAGCACTGGTGTTTCTTTTCAAATAAATTAGCAATGATCTTTGAGGATGACCATCACAATTTTTCTGTTTTAGATGTGGAATAAGTAAGTGATCATAAACAAATACCCCTGATCACCAGCTGCTGAAAGTAAAACTGCTGGTTGTGATGATGCTCATCTGTAATCCCAGGGCTCAGGAGCCTGAGGCAGGAGAATTGACATGAATTCGAGTCCACCAGGGCTACATAGTTCAAGGCCACCCTGTCTCAAAAAAACACAAAGACCCTGTCTAAAAAAAAAGCAAAAGAACTTGGCCAAAATCTAAAGTATGAATTAATGTAGTTTTTGTTTGTTTGTTTTTTGTGGTACTGGGGATCGAACTCAGGACCTTGCACTTGCGAGGTAGGCACGTTGCCACTGAGCTAAATCCCCGGCCCTTAATGGGGTTTTTAAAAATGAATTAATGTTAATTCCCTTGTAGGCAGAAGAAGAGTTCAACATTGAGAAAGGTCGTCTTGTGCAGACCCAGAGACTGAAGATCATGGAGTACTATGAGAAGAAGGAAAAGCAGATTGAGCAGCAGAAGAAAATGTAGGTGGATCATGGCCAGAGCAGTCATCGGAAGGAGCTTTCAGAAGTAAACAGAGCTGAGGCCGTAGATCAGTCGTGGGGCACTTGCTTAGCCTGGGTGATGGCCTGGTTATCCCCAGACCCACCTCTCACCCCACCAAAACATGGTCAGTTAGGCAAGGGGGCTGCAGGCACTTTGGAGTCCAGCTCTTAACTCAACTACCTGCTACTTATCTGACCTTGGGCAGATTGTTTAACTTCTTTCTCTTTCCTTTGGAAGACGGAAGCCTCTTTTCTTTTGTGCTGGGGGTGGAGCCCAGGGTTGGACCTCCGGGCTTTTCTCAGGCTAGACAAGCACTCTGTCCCTGACCTACATCCTCAGGCCTTCACACAAGTGTTGAAAGATTAAATTGAAGAAACTAATATGCAAGTCTGAGCTGCACAAGTATGTCCTTACCTTTTTTTTTTCTTTTTTTGAGACAGGGTCTCATTATGTCGTTCTGGCTGACAATTGAATTTGAGGCAATCTTCCTGGCTCAGCCTCCTGAGTGCTAGGATTACAGGGCTGTGCCACCATGCCCAACTGTCCTTATCTTTGAAAATAAGTTGGTAGAAGCCTCTCGGTGTATCTCACTTGAGTCATTAGAAAGAGAGCTCTTTGCTTATCAAATCATCACTGTATATACAGAGAAAGATGTATATTTCTTTCTCTAGTTTTTGTTTGGTGTGGTGTGTTCTGATACTATTTTCTCTTAATTTTGTAGTCAGATGTCCAACTTGATGAATCAAGCGAGGCTGAAAGTCCTCAGAGCAAGAGATGACCTTATCACTGTGAGTAATTAGCCCTGTCAGTTATAAAATTGTGCAATGTTTATTCATTTGCCCTTTATACTGAGTCACCAGTTAACATTAAGGAGTCGGTGCATCATTTCTAGTTACGTTTGTTCAACAATGATTATTCTAGGCATTATGATAGATGCAAACATAAGTAAGACACAGGCCCTGACTTCAAGGACATTTCTGACCTATCTGAGCATGTGGCTCTCCTGAGATCTGCAGCAGCGCGGTGTGGACGCATGTGCAGGAGGCTAGAAAAGTGGGTGGGTGGGCAAAGGCCTTTGTCGAGGGCAAGGCTGAGCAGCTGCTGTTCTCAGTAGCGAAGCACTGGAGATTGATTTTGTAGGCTGCACATCAGCAGGCCTCGTGGTATGAGAGTGTAGGGTAAGTCACATAAGGAAGAGGACAGAAACCTACAAAAACAGCGCTTAGAGTTTGAGTTGTATTCAGGAACCAGACAGGTAACTTGGTCCACTGTTACTCTTTACTGTGGAGGCCTAAGATTCCTTCTGAAATGGAGAATAAAGATAAATAAATATTGGGGAGGAAGAAACAGTTATTGTTTTCTGCAGATACGATTATCCATGCAGAACTAGTGATGCATCCAAAAAAGTTACTGACTACAAAGAGAATCTAGAGAAATGCATAGTTTTTCTGTGTGCCAGCAATAACCAAGTACAAGTAAAATAAGTAGATCCTTTAAGCTGGGCAGGGTGGCGCACACCTGCAATCCCAGCACTCGGGAGGCTGAGGCCAGATAATTACAAGTTCAGGACCCTCTTGGGAAAGTTAGTAACGCAGTGAGACTCTTGCTGCAAATTTTTTAAAAATTCGAAAAAGACTGGGAATGTAGCTCAGTTGCAGAGGCCCTGGGTTCAATCCCTAATACTAGGGAAAAAAAGTCTTAAGTGGGGCAGTCATTTTTCATCTTTTAAGCAGGTTGTTATTAGATGATAGCAATTTTCTTTTCCCATTGGTGGTATCTTGTTGACCATGTGTGGATCTACAGTTTGCTTTCAGTTTTTTGAGACAAGGTCTTGTTTATATAGCCAAGTCAGCGTGAACTCTATTATGTAGCCCAGAATGCTGGGATCACAGGCATGTACCACTTGTCTTTATTTTCATTGTAGAAGTCAAATTTTTTCTGGTATCAGGGATCAAACTCAGGAGCTTGAGCTTGCCAGGCCGATGTGGTACCACTGGGCTCAATCCCCAGCCTAGAAGTCAATTTTCAGTATACACAAAGTAGAAAATACAAACTAGCATAAATAAAATTAAAATCATTCAAAATCAGGCCGGGGATTTAGCTCAGTGGTTCCACCGCCTGCCTCGCAAGCACAAGGACCCGAGTTCGATCCCCAGTACCAAAAAAATTCAAAATCAAGCCTCCCAAGGATAATTTGTTGCTGTTTTGATCTATTCTTGGATATTTTCTGCTATACATTATTCTAATAAAAAGCGTGGGGCCAGGCCTCAGTGGCAGAGCTGAAGTATAGTGTGCACGAGGCACGGTCTGACCCGACTGTCTCAATGGATTGCTTCTCAGCTGTGGCAGATCGGTGCCTGAGCTGTCCGCTGCCAGACTGAGCGGTCTGGGAGCCTGGTTGGTGGTTCATGCCTCCACCTGTCATGCTTAGCACAGCACCTGCCTTAGCATGTGTCGAAGCAAGGCCTCGCACAGCATTCTGAGCTAGCTACCTTGATGTGTAGATAACTTTTGTCTTTTCCATTCTTTGCAGGACCTGCTAACTGAAGCAAAGCAGAGACTCAGCAAGGTGGTAAAAGATACAACAAGGTACCAAGTACTGCTGGATGGACTGGTGCTCCAGGTATTCCTTCTCTTTTTCTTTATGTTTTTTTTTTTTTGAGATAGGGTCTTGCTCTGTAATTCAGGCTAGTTTTTTTTTAATCCCATTTCCCCCCTTAAGCCCCCTCCCCTCCCTATGTACAAAGGCTTTGTTTTCATTTTTTCCTTCTATTTTCACTTTTTTTTTCTTGTCCCTCCCTTCCTTTCTCCCTCCCTTCTCCCTTGTTCCCCTTCCCATTTGAACACTTTCTTCCCATTTCCCAACATCCACTATACATCTCAGTCCTTATTTCCACATTCAGTTTCTCACACCAGAGAAACAATGCAGTATTTAAACATGTGTCTCTGATTTATTTCACTTAAGAGAATGGACTCAAGGTCCATCCATTTAGGTATAAATGTCTGAAGCTCATCCCTGTTTATGGCAGAGTAGTACTCCACTGTATATATAAAAAAACCACATCTTTATCTACTCATCAGTTGATGAACATTTGGGCTTTTTCCAAGATTTAGCTATTATAAACCATGCTGCTATAAACATGGGTGTGCATATATTGCTGTGGTAGGATCCTTTTAATTCTTTCAGGAAGATCCCCAGCAGGGGAATAGCTGGGTCAAAATGGGACCTCTAATCCTAGTTTTTTGAGGTATCTCCATATTGATTTCCACAGTGGTTGCCCCAGTCTACACTCACACCAATAGTGGCAAAGGGTTTCTTTTTCCCTTCTTTTTCCCACAGCCCCTCCAGCATTTGTTTTTTTCTCTTTTTTGTTTTTGGTACCAGGGATCGAACTCAGGACCTTGTGCTTTCGAGGCAGGTGCTGGAACCACTGAGCTAAATCCCTGGCCCTCCAGCATTTGTTATTGATTGATTTCGTGATAGCAGCCATTCTTTCTGGAGTGAGATGCAGTCTCAGAGTTGTTTTAATTTGCATCTCTTGAATGACCAGTGATGTTGAACATTTTTTCACATACTTATTTGCCGTCTCTAATTCTTCATCTGAGAAGTGTCTTTTCATTTCAGATGCCCATTTTTTCGTTGGCTCTTTAAATTTGGGGGAGGGGTCTGTTTTTTTGAGTTCTTTATATATTCTAGATAATAATCCTTTATCTGAATAGCTGGTAAAACAATTTTCCCCGCTCTATGGGTTGTCTCTTCACTCTGGGGGTGGTTTCTCTTGCTGTGCAAAAGCTTTTTAGTAAATTGACATCCCAGTTGTCGATTCTTTGTGGAATTTCCCATGCAGTCTGGGTTTTGTTCATGAAGTCTTTGCCTATTCTATGTCCTCAGGCGTTCTTCCTGTTCTCTCTTCCAGCAGATTTAGTGTTTCTCTTTTAATATTTAGATCTTTGATCTACTTCAATTGTAGGTTAGTGCCTGGTGAAAGATATGGATCTAGTTTCAATCTTCAGCATGTGGAAAGCCAGTTTTTCCAGGACCATTCATTTTTTCTTATTTTTTATTTTTTTTTGGTACCAGGGATCGAACTTGGGTCCTTCCGCTTGCAAGGCAGGCGGCAGAACCACTGAGCTAAATCCCCGGCTCCAGGACCATTTATTAAAGAGGCGGCTGTCTTTCTTCCAGTGAAGGTGCTTGGCTCCTTTGTCAAATATAAGGTGGTTGAGTGTGTCAATTCAGGCTAGTCTTGAACTCACTTTGTAGCTCAGGCTGGCCTCGAACTCACGGCAACTTTCTTGTCTCAGCCTCCTGAGTGCTGAGATTATAGCCATGTGCCATCATACCCGGTGTGTTCCAGGTACACAAGCCACATCTACCATGTGTAGTCATACTGGGAAAATTACAGGATCTGCAGGCATGGTGGTGCATTCCTGTAATCCCAGCACTTGGGAGGCTGAGCAGGAGGATTCCCACAAGTTGGAAGATAGCCTGGGCTACATACTGAGACCCTGTCTCAAGAAACCAAAAGAGAAAATTACAGGATCTGTTAGACACCAGCTCTATTTCTGTTTCCTCATCTTGGCTGTTCTCCTTAACTCTATCTGGTTTAAAGTACAGATGTGGCAGCCCACACCAATAGTCCTAGCACCCTGGGAGGCTGAGGCAGGAGAGTTACAACTTTGAGCCCAGTTCAATCCAGGAGACTAGCATACCCTGTCTCAAAATAAAAAATAAAAGCCAGGCATGGTGGCCCGTGCCTATAATCCTAGCACTTGGGAGGCTGAGGCAGGATGATCACTGTGAGTTCAAGGCCAGCCTGAGCTACATAGTAAGTTCAAGGCCTGTACATAGCGAGACCTGTCCTAAAAAAAAATAATAATAAGGAAAGGAAAGAAGAAGGGAAGGAGGCCTGGGGGTGTAGGTCAGTCCCCCTCCACCAAAAAAGGGTGCCGCACAGGAAGACAGTAAAAGAAAATGGGGATTGGGGCTGTCTGGCTGGCCAAGACTGAGACTTCCAGGCTTACTACTCTTTGATATGGTCTTATTACTCTTTTGTAACTTGAGGCTCAAATCTTCTTGCAACCTCCAGTTTTTTGGTTTTTTATTTTTTATTTTTTATTTTTTTGGTACTAGAGATTGAACTCGGGTCCTTGTGCTTGCGAGGCAGGCGGCGGAACCACTGAGCTAAATCCCCGACCCTCAACCTCCAGTTTTAAACTTCCCTAGTTTGATTTTTACCATTAAAATGCAGCTTCAGACATCATCGTGCACTCCTGGGATGTGAGTCCTTGCTTTACTCATGACAAAGTCTGAGGTTGATAAAATGGGGTAGCGCATCAGAGCCAGTCTGTGCTGGGCTGGGCTGTCAGGCCGTGCCCTCTCACACTCTGTGTGTGTCCTCTGGTGCTTGCAAGGGGCCACTTTGCATGTGCGGGGATGATACACCAGGAATAGTGTGCATTTTCCACTAATGACGTCTCATTGTTTCTTACAGGGTTTGTACCAGTTGTTGGAGCCCCGAATGATTGTGCGTTGCAGGAAACAAGATTTCCCTTTGGTAAAGGTAAAGAACTTGAAAGAAGGAAAAAAGTTCTCTGTTTTTGGTAGTACTGGGGATTGAACCCAGGGCATTCACATTGGTCTACGTCTTCAGCCCTTTTTTAATTTATTTTTTTGGTACTGGGAATCAAACTCAAACTCGCACTTGCCAGGCAGATGCTGTAATGCTGAGCTACATCCCTGGCCCTTCAGCCTGTTTTTAGAACTCACTGTTTTGAGATAGGATCTCTTTAAGTTGCTAAGTTGCCCAGGCTGGACTGGAAACTTGCAGTCCTTGTGCCTCAGCCTCTGGGAATGCTGAGATTACACGTGTACCACCATGCCTGGCTCATTTCCTTTTTACGGCTAATAATATTTCATCATATATATATATGTCAGTTTTGCTTATCCATTCCTCCACTGCTGGGCACTTGAGTCATTTTCACCTCTGGTTACTGTGCTTACTTCCTTGGGTGCATAGAAATGCAGGTCCAGGTCTGTTTCAGTCTCTCCTTTTGCTTATTTAGGTTCACCAGAACTGGAGATGCTGGATTGTAGGTAATTTTGTGGACGACTTTTTGAGAAAGTGTCATATAGTTTCCCGATCAGCTGTGCCATTTAATATTTGCACCAGCGGTACACATTGTCCTCAACACTTGCTTTTTGGTTTTCATGGGTTTTTTTGTTTTGTTTTTTGGTGCCAGGTCTTGCAACACTGTGCACACTGTCCGTGAACTCTGGGCTCAAGAGATCCTCTTGCCTCAGCCTCCCCAATAGCTGGGACTACTGGTGCAGCCCACAGTATCTGGCTGTCACTTGAGAATAGCCATCCTGATGGGTATACAGTAGCACCACTTTCTTATGTACGTTGTCACCCTCTCTGCTGCAACTGTCAGCCTTAAACTTAGGGGTCAGTGCTGGTCTGGGACTGTAGCTCAGTGGTGGAGCATTTGTCTAGCATGTGGGAAGCCCTCAATTCCATCCCCAGCACCACAGAAAATTACAAGTAATTTAAAAAACGAATAGCCACACGCTTGTCCATCACATCTCCCTTCACAGTCCTGATGCTCTTCGCTGGGGCCATGACGTCTTCCTCCTGCTGTTCACACTGGAATTTGTCCCTGGCGTGGTCAGGCCATCCAGCCAATGTAATTTTTTTGAAAGAGGGTCTCGCTATGTAGTCCAGACTGGCCTCAAACTCAGGGCAATCCTCCTGCCTCAGCCTCCCCAGTGCTGGGAATTACAGGTGTGTGTCACCACATCTGGCCAAAGCATCTTTTTGGGGGGGGGGGGTTACCAAGGATCAAACTCAGGACCTTGTGCTTTTGGGGCAGGCGCAGTGCCAGAGCTAAATCCCCGGCCCTAAAGCATCTATTTTTTAATTTAAGAGTAGGAGGGGCCGGGGATTTAGCTCAGTGGTTTTGCCGCCTGCTGTGCAAGCACAAGGACCGGAGTTCGATCCCCGGTACCAAAAAAATAAAAATAAAAATAACTTAAGAGTAGGAGGATTATCCTTGCTTGTGTAACCTATTGATGGGGGTGGGTATTTGCTCTATAGTTTTTTCAAATCTTTGATTCTTTCTGTTTTTCAGGCTGCCGTGCAAAAAGCGATCCCTATGTACAAAATTGCCACCAAGAAAGATGTTGATGTTCAAATTGATCAGGAGGCCTACCTGCCTGAGGACATGTAAGGAGTGTTCTTGTCTTTGGTTTTGTTTTTTGTTTTGAGACAGGGTCTCACTATGCAGTTCAGGTTGGCCTTGAATTCGCTATGTAGCCCAGGCTGGCCTCAAACTCCGCTGTCTCAGCCTCCCAAGTGCTGGCTGGACTTTTTAAAAAGTGTATTTTGAGGCCCGGGGATTTAGCTCAGTGGTTCCGGCGCCTGCCTTGCAAGCGCAAGGTCCCAAGTTCGATCCCCGGCACACACACACAAAAAAAGTGTATTTTGAGTTGAGGGATGCAAATGTGTGGTAGTGCAGATCTCTGTATTGGATGCTGAAGGAGATAATCCTTACTTCTTTTTTTGTTTGTTTTGTTTGTGGTGCTGGGGATTGAACCCAAGGCTTCTCAATGATCTGTATCCCCAGCCCCACCCCCACCCCCAGTTTTTAGATAGTCTCATTTAGTTGCCTATGCTAGGATCAAACTTGCCATTCCCTGCCTCAGCCTCTCAGAGTGCTGGAATTCACAAGTGTGTGTGACCACCCCTGACTTAGTTTTTGTTTCTTTGAGACAGTCTTGTTCCCTGACCTTGAACTTGATCCTCTTTCCTGAGCCTCCGAATGCTGGATAATCCCTACTCCTAAGGAATTGTCAGAAACAAGACTTGGGTACCTTGGTTAGTACTGGTGAGCTCCTGGGTTTGAACCACAGCACCAAAAATAAAACAGAAAAACAGTAGTCATTACATGTACCTAATAATGAGTCACATGACAGTGGTACTGGTACTGACTGAGGAGCTGATGGTCCTGGACTCACGTCCCCACCCACCTTGATGCACCTGGGCAGAGTTAGGAGCTCCTGACCTGGACGAGGCTGAAGTCTCTCCGTGTTGCGTGTGTCAAGTGTCTGTCTGGTGTCTGTCTTGTGTCATCCACCAGCACCGTCGGCTCCTGTGGAACAGGGTCCCTGGAACACATTATGAATGTGGTGGAGGGAAGGCCTAAGTAGACTGAGGGCTACAGGATCTAGACCTGAGAACATTACCACAGTTGGGCACTTTTGTGGATGGCACTGGGGATTGAACCCAGAGCCTCACACATGCTCAGATTTGGGTTTGATTCTCCATTTTGCCACTTACTAGCTGTAATCTTGGACTAGTGGGTGAATGTCACTGAGCCTCAGTTTCCTCCTCTAAATGAGGACAGCAGCCCCCACCGAAGAGTTCCTGGGGAGCCCCGCCGGGGGGGTGTCTGGCAGCGCTCGGCACAGTGCCTGCCTGGGGCACGGCTGTGCACACGGCGGAGACAGTGCAGTTGCACAGGTCTCGGTTAGTTCAGGGGGCTGGTGAACAATGAGCTGGACTGAAGACCCTCATTCCCCATCCCCAGAACAAACAGGCTACCCTGGTTCCTTACCTGCAGTCTGGGGCCAGCTGTGTTCTGAACGTCCATGCAGTGCAGTGTCCCCTACAAGGGCCAAGGCCTCACCCCATCATCAAATGCACTGGTGTTACTGAGTGCAAAGAGTTGTGTTCCACTGCGAGGGATAAATAAAATTAAGATTTGTTAGTCGTTTGCTGCCCATTGCCTGGAAACCAGTTCTGGTTTCAGAGCCATAGTTGGTGCTTTTGGGGCTTTTTTCCAGAACCTTTTAAATTGATAAGGGTTTATAGATTTATAAATAACATTTACAAATAACTTTATAGAGAGATAAATAAGATTTACAAATAGACAATGTAATTAGAAATAAGATAAATATAGACTTATAGAGAAGGGCTTTATAGATTTATCCTGTGCAAAGTGTCATTTAAATCTTGTCAGAGCTGGGCATGGTGGCACAGGGCTCTGATTCCAGCACAGCCTCCAGCATTGGAGGCTGAGGCAGGAGTATCAGGAGTTTGACTCTAGCCTAGAGGACATAGGAAGACCTTATCTTAAAAACAAAATCTTTGAGGGCCGGGGATTTAGCTCAGTGGTTCCGCCGCCTGCCTCGCAAGTGCAAGGTCCCGAGTTCCATCCCTGGTACCAAAATCTTTGCAGGGAAGTTACTCCATCGTTTTATTCGATCTCTTTAAGCCTGTTTCCTTGTTTATAAAGTGTTATGTGTACTGTGACTCTCATGGAGTATTGGGAAGATTAAATGAGAAGCCATGAGGCCTGTGGGCGAACTGACAGTAGGGCATGGCTGACCTATTCTCAGTGCCCCTTCCCTTACACCCCTAATGGGGGCAAAATCATGCTTCTCAGAGGTAGGATTTCAGGAAGGAACCATTGTGCCTTTGTAAGGAATACAGGCTATTTAGAAAAACCAAAAGCAGATGAAACCAAGAAATGGGAAGGCTGGGGATATAGTAAGCCAAAAATATGAAGATCTTTGTCCATTAACATTTTCTAAAGAACCAGGCACAGTGGTGCACACCTGTAATCCTAGTACTCTGGAAGCCTGAGGCAGGAGGATCACAAGACCGAGGCCAGCCTGAGCAACTCAGTGACTTAGCAAGACCCTGTCTCAGAATTAGATAAAAAGGGCTGGGGATGTAGCTCAGTGTGAATGCCCTGGGTTCAATCCCCAGTACCAAAAAAAAAATTTTTCCAAAGAGAAGTTGCAAAGCCTTTCCTAGCATTTGTCTGATGGCCTGCTTATTTCAAGAAACACTTGATAACATTATGTAGTAAATGGATTTCGTTCTCTGAGGTTCCTTGTAAAACAGTTGGATGTACTTACTTTATGCCTCAAGTGCCTGGAGACTTTGTCACTACAAGTGAGGTTTGGCTAGGGGAGAACTCAGGGTGACAGGGTGAGGCTGGCAGGCCAGAGGCAGCCCTGCTAAATGGCCTCGGACTTCACAGCTTCAGGTGTAGACTCATTGCAAAGGGAGGGGAAATCCTCCCCTTTTCATTTTGTTGGGCAGTGCTGTTAGAATTAGGTTAGGTGCTGTCACAGAGAAGTGACACATGGCAGTAACTTGCATTATCAACACTGATACCTTAAATCCTTAGAAGTGTTCTGGATGAATTTCAAGGCAGCTGTTCACGTTGCTTACTCCATATACCTAAATAGCCTTCCGGGGGCAAATCGGTATGACTGGTGTTTGCCTTCCTCAACTCTAAAGTTATCTTCTCTGTTCTTTGCAGAGCTGGTGGAGTTGAGATCTATAATGGGGATCGTAAAATAAAGGTTTCCAACACCCTGGAAAGCCGGCTGGATCTCATAGCCCAGCAGGTGAGTGGGGAGGGGCTCTGGTCATCCGGCGGCTGATGCCTTTGAAGTGGAGCAGAGAACATGTGTTCCTGCATGGGTATTTCGGGTTTATCCACGGTTTTCATTTTCTTAAAAGGAATGAGGATTAGGCATGCAGTGGTATTTACTGAGATGACCGAGTGTGCATGAAGAGTTTGGGGTCTAAACTGAGTCTTGTTTCTCCACAATGCTAATGTGTACATCTTACTGTGTATGGGGATGCTTAGTTCTTTCTCTAGACGCACAGTGGGAACTTGAGGAAATCAGGGAGTAGATGTAATAGTAAACAGAGAAGAGGAAATTCCACCATCAGCTGTTGGCTAGAGGCTGGAGAATGCTCTCACTTTCTGCAGCAAAAAGATGTCCAGGTTGATCACATACACAGCTACTCTTGTGTTTTTTCTGATTTCACAGATAATGTCTTAAAATGTGGAGCACCCACTTAAGTGACCTTGGTTGCTTACAGATGAGTATTTTTTTCATGTGTATGCTATTCAGTCTGTACACCAATAAATCAAAGGTCTGATTATTATGACCTCATAATGAAGATATAGTTTAAATACTGAGAGTGTCATTTTTCTATGTTATATAATACAGTTATCAAATAATGTTAAATGTGGCTCATTTTTAAAAAAGAAGAATGATGGGAACTGAAATATTTGAAGGCAACAGTATAAGGCTCCTTACTCTTCTGATCTTCCCACATTTACACAAATGAACTCTGGCAAGGAGCCACGAAAGGGCCCCTTGTCTTACAGTGCAGTGTGCTCTGCTGCTGTGGCCTCCAGCCGAGCTGCTTCCTGACATAAGCACAGCTTATTGTTGGCGTAGACGCTGATCTTGTGAGCAAACCGAGTGAGTGGTGTCATCCAGTAATTTAAATCTTAGTGCTGTGTGTCCCAGGACACTGCCCTGGCTACAGGTAGATACTTACATCAGTCAAAATCACGACTTCAGGGCTGGGAGTGTAGCCCAGTGGTGGAGTCTTGCTCAGCATGCTCCAAGCCCTGGGTTCTGTACCCAGTCCTGCACCAACTTTTCCTCAGTCTCACCAGTCACATTTCAGATGGGCAGTCGTTGCACGTTGCTAGTGGCTGCCATGTTACATAGCACAGCCTTAGAAGTCTGAGGTCAGGGGGCCGGGGATTTAGCACAGTGGCACTGCACCTACCTGGCAAGTGCAAGGTCCTGAGTTCAATCCCCAGTACCACAAAAAAAAGTTTGAGGTTAAATAAGCTGTCACGGTGATGCACACCTTCCATGTTCAAGCCCGCCTGGGCAATTAGGGATCTACAAAACCAACAAAAATAAATTTTTACTTTTTTTTTTTGGTACCAGGGATCGAACTTAGGTCCTTGTGCTTGCACAGCAGGCGGCGGCGAAACCAGTGAGCCAAATCCCCGGCCCCAAAATAAATTTTTAAGGGCTATGAATGTGTGAAGGCCCTGGGGGAGAAGTTTGAGGTTAAATGCTCCTAAGGAGTTATTTGTTGTTAGCATGAGTGCTTTAGCACAAACTTGCATTCTAAGTGTTCTGTGTAGTCACCGCTGGCAAGCAGGAGTTGGCACTCAGTAACTGTCAGGATGTAGGTGATGCAGAGTATGGTGAAGTCATACTGTTTGTGGCTTCATCTCTTCTCTCTCCATCATAGTATAACAGAGGGCAGACACGGTCCTAACCTGAGATTTTTTTTTTTTCACTTTTGAAAGCAGTTTGGGATTAGCTAAGTTTCTGTTCCACTGCATCTGGTGAGGGGCAGGTTTTGTGGCGTTAGCTTTGTGAGCTCCTCCCCAGCCACCTGGAAGTTAACAGCTGTCTGCCTGTGGTTAGGAGGAAGTACAGTTCCTGACAAGTTCCCCAGTTGATGACACTTATTTATTGTTTCTTCACAGATGATGCCAGAGGTTCGGGGGGCCTTGTTTGGTGCTAACGCGAATAGGAAGTTTTTGGACTAAGGCAGAAGCAAGATTGCCTGTGTATCTTCCCCTCAGCTGTTCTAATCCTGTTCTGCATTTACCCCTGATGCCCTTGGCCCCGAGAGCAGAGGGAGAAGCTCACTCAGTATGAGCAGGACCACCCTGGCTCATCCGGATTCCACAGCTCCCCACGCAAGGCTCCCGCCGCCTCTCCCCTGCACCCTCCACCCTTGCAGCTGTCGGAGGGTGACGTGCATGCTGTTCCTGCCCGTTAGGTGTAAATCGCATGTGAGGCCTGCACTCCTCCCAGCAGTAGGAGCTTCACCTTTACCTGTTTGGGCCTAGTTTTCCTCATCTGTAAATGTGATTTAAAATCTAAACCATGAAGATTCTTTATTTATTAAAACAAAAGGTTTATGTGGATTTAATTGTGATTTCTTACATAAGTCCCTGCAAGTTTGTGGTTTGAGAGAGTGAGTTCTACCAGGCCTGACAGCCAGTGCCTGCAGTCGTAGCTGCTCAGGAGGCTGAGGCAGGAGGATCACTGGACCCCAGCGCTCAGGGGCTGTCTGGGCAACAGATCAAGACCCCATCACAAAAAAAAGTTCTTCCTGAGGAAATCATTAACCCCCTCATACCCTTGGGGCTTCCTGACACTTCACCAGACCGTCAACCCGGTTGTTCTCCCCAGCCCTTTATTATCTTCTACACACTCCACACGGTTGTTCAGTATTTTCTGTCCCCAGAAGAGTTTACAACTTTTTTGGGGGTGATCCGGATGCTAGAGGTGGACGGTCCCCAGGGCCTCATGCATGGTAAGCTACACCTCAGCCTTGTGAGTTGTACTACTTTACTAAGGAAATAGATCTATTAGTTTGGGCAGTGTAAAAGAGGAAACTAAGTTTTGGGGGGTTACCTTGGGCTAGGCGGAATGGTTGTACAGAGAACTTTTCTTCCTCCCTCTCCCCATTCTTCAGTTCTCAGATAGCAACTGAGGGCTGCCCAGGATCTCAAAGCTGGTCGGGGCAGAGCTGGGCCTTGTCTGAATCTGCCTCCAGGGGCAGTGCCGCATGCGTCCTCTTACAGAGTGAGGCCACCAGGATTGACCACTCTGGCACAGCCTGCTCCCTTGGTTTTAGGTTTGGAGGGGACTAGGGTAGGTACCGGCCGGCTCTTGGGACAGGCGTTTTTCCTTTATTTGTGTGACATTATTTCTGTGAGGCAGCCTCTGGAGGAAGGAACCAAGGCTCACGAGGAGAACCGTCACAGCCGACCCAGTTCCTCAAGGTGAGGCAGTTAGGAAGTGATGGACAGAGAGAAGCAAGACTAAAACGCAGGTAAAAAGAGTAAGTACCCCCGGGTCTTCTCCATCCTCCTGAGTGATGGCTTACAGATGGCAGTGCCCTGCTACAGGGCTGTACAAACCAGTTTGGTTCTGAAGCAAACATAAAGGCAGACAACACAGGATTCCCTCACAAGATGACACTAACCATGGAGCTTTATTTCAGCCAGTGCCCCGTGGATGTCATGGTGGGTGGGGGTGCCAGTGCTGAAGCGTGTGCTTCAGCAGGGCTGGGGCAAGGGACAGCTGCTGGGCCTGGCCCTGCCTGATGCTCACGGGGGTCCCTAGCTCGAGCCAGCTCTGGCGCTAGTGCCCTTGGGCCCCTGACACCTCTCCTTAACATCCGTGTTGGAACTAACCATGTTATTTACTTGAGATTAACCAAATTAAATCCTCCCACTGACTCAAGTCTACTGAGCTTGAGTGAAAGGGCAGTGTTAAAATGCAGAAACAGCCCTTCAGCTGTTCCTCACAGCGAAGGTCTTGGGTAACACAACCAAAGCTAGCATTGTTAAGGGCCTTGTAGCTCCACTGCCACAGGAAATGAATGCTGCTTTCATCGACGGGAGTAACAACTTTCCTGTTAGGATGGGGCCGTCTCTCTGAGGCTGAGGTAGCACTACAAGTCAGAGGGCAGGGCGGAGCACAACCTGGGCGGTGCCTTACTCCACCCCCTCTAGTCTAAGGGAGGTCCCAGCGGGAGGGGACTGGGCGCTCCAGCCCGAGCTACTCTAGCCACTGTAAGACGCGCTCCCCAATACCAATGAAATAGACACCTTGGGCGATGCCAAAGAGAGGTGCGATGACGAGGGCGCGGCAGCCTGCCCCCTTCATGAGGGCTGCCGGTCCCTCCCGGGTCCAGAGCTTCCTGGGGAGAAAGAAGAGCAGTGAGCTGCTGGGAAGGTGCACACTCAGCCCTGGCGTCGAGCGTCTGCGCCCCTCCGCAGCAGGGCGGGCGGGAGGGAGGGAGCCTCCCCTCAGCCGGTACAAGCGTGCTGTCCGGTGACTGGTAGCGGGGTCCAGGCCCTGCAAGCTAGGCTTGATCGGACCAGGACCACAATCGGGGAGACCAAAAAGCTCCCTGATACTTTTTTTTTTTTTTTTTTAAATTCCTCCAAGAGATGAGGGAAAGGGACAGAGTTCAAAAAAGCCTAAGGCTCCAGTTAGGCATGGTAGTGCACGCCTATGAGCTCAGCACTTAGGAGGCTGAGACCAGAGGATCCTCCGGAGTTCGAGCCCAGCCAGGACTACATAGACCCTGTCTCAAAACAAAACAGAAACACTGGGGGTCCCCAGTCCAACAGATACAGACGAGGCGCTGCAGGGGAGTGGGCTCACCGGGCGCAGTCAGCTGTCCCGCTGTAGCTGTCTTCACCCAGGCCTTTCTTGAGGGTTTGGATTCGAGTTTTCAGAACTAAATGGAGCAGAAATTAAAATACATAGCGAACACTTCATTTTTGGCTTCTTCCCCACACAGGGAGAGCCAGCGCAGACAGGATGGACCTGCACGGCCAGTCCTGTCACTGAAGGGACTAGAAATCACCAGAGCCTGTAGGCTGCGCCTGCTGTAGAAGCCACCTGCGCACAGCAGGCTAGCAGCCCAGGACGGGGAGGCATCGTCTCCTCACTTCTGATCAGCTCTTGCCTTTGGCTCAAAGCTATAGAAATTAGTGCTTATAAAGCTGTGGGATTGTCTTGTCTTTGGTTTGTTTTTTCTTTTCTTTTTTTGCTACTAGGGTCTGAACACAGAAGCTTCACACTGAGCTACATTCCTAGCTCTCACCCCTCAGTTTTTTGTTTTTTTTTTAAGACAAGGTCTCACTAAGTTACTAAATTGCCCAGATTGAGCTCAAACTTGTGATCGTCCTGCCTCAGCCTTCACAGAGTGCTAGGATTACAGCCAAGCACCACCATGCCAGCTGGAGGGGACTGTCAGTGATAGTGACGTTCTCCTCAGCCCCCCTTGTCTGTGAGGACCTTGGTGAGTACTGTCAGCCCCAGGGTGGGGTGCTCACCCACAGGTGAGCTGAAGCTCCAGTGCCAGTGCAGGAGTTCTGTCTGTCCTGTAGACAGCTAGGCACCCCGGAGCCCAGCCCCTCTGCATCAGACACCTACCGTCCAGAGGTGTGACCGCCACAGCAGCCACAGAACCTGCAGCACAGCCTGACACGAAGGAATGAGCAAATGAGGCCTTCCCTGTGGACTCGCTGACTCCAGGGTTGTTGAGGTTGGCGAACAGCGGGAAGTAGATGATGGAGAAAGGAATGTCTCTGCAGGGGAGGAGGGAGCATTGAAGGGACCTCCTTCACTCCTTCCAGGTCATGTGGGAAGCCATGAGCTCAGCAGGCGGGGCACAAAGGCTCCGCAGTTACCGCCTCCTTGCTGGGCGCCCTTGGTGGGTAGGGCAACAGTCTACATAGCACGAAAGGTCTTTGTGTGCCCCCACCCTGCTCAGCGCTATGCCTGGCCAGCACCTGCAGGCCGAGCAGCACGGGAGGTGGTGGGTGTCCACTCCTGCAGATGAGCTGCAGGCCTTGTAGGCGCCTTTGGCCCCCAGCACACCCAGTACTCATGCTCCTAGTCATTGGAGAAGAGACCTAAAACCTTAGTCTCCCAGGTGCCCACTCTATGTGACCTTGGCCATTGCGATGTGGCAGGAAGCATGGGAGTGGCCTCCCAGCCTGGCCTGAATGCCCGGTAAGAGGTGGCAGTGCCCTTCGGTCCCAAGAAACAGGCCCAGTGTGCCCATGCGCACTGGAAGGAAGCAGGGCTCACCTGAGCAGCGTGGCCCCCAGGCCCTTGTAGAGACCGGCCAGGCCCTGTGTGCGCAGCAACTCCCAGGCAATGAGGGTGGCAGACGGGCGCTTGTGGGTGGAAGCTGAGCCTGTGGTGTAGGACCTGGAGGATGGAGGAGCCGAGGCCGAGCCCTGGGGATGCCCCGCTGAAAGGGAAGGACAGGCTCCATCTCAACCCAGGGCCCCGGCAGGCACCCTAAAACACACCCTGAAGGTAGCCCACTCGGTCAGTCCTAGCTCTGGGACAACTCAGAGGCAAGAGCCCAACATGGGCAACTTAACAACTTAGTCAGACCCTATCTCGAAATATAAATGGACTAGGCATGCAGCTTGGTACAGAGGTTCTGGGTTCAATCCCTAGTACTGGAAAAAAAGTCCCTAAAGTGTTTTAGGAATACTGGAGCTTTTTACCAGGGTTACAAACTACCATACAGGGCTCTTGCTCTTTGCAAATAGAAACAGGAGGCTTAGGCTTCCAGGGCCTCACAGCTGCTGTCCCCTCAAGTGTGTTTGCTGCAGGCTTCGGAGCCGACCTAGCATAGCACACATGCAGCAGAACAAGCCGCTTCTTGCTAGGGCTGCTCGGGACCTGGGACTCAGGAGCTTACTTAACTGGGACGTGGCAGAGCCCAGAGAAAAGGCCCCTCTCTCCCCACTACATGCATTGGTACCCGAACCACTGTATCTCTGAGAGGACCAGGACTGAGAAAAGAGCCAAACCTCTCTTCTAGGGAAAACCAAAAGAATGGGAATGTTTCTCTTCTCCCTTTTTATGCCTTCTTCCAAAAAGCCAGCTTCTACAGCATAAAATGCCTACTGACTGAAGAGTTCAGTGAGCAGGGCATTGACATTTCTTAAAATCTTTGGGAAGTCGGCCTAAATGTCAAGGCAATAGAGGTATTAGGTGTGGGTATTCTCTGTCTCTCCTGAATCAGAGTTTCATTTCTGCTGTTTGTTTGGAAGTATTGAGAGGTGTCACCATAAAATAAAGGTTTCTGTTGCCCTGGAGACCTGACTAGATCCACCTGCATGCCGGGCAGTAAAGGTTGGTGGGCGGGGTATGACCTGTTCTGACTCAGCCTTACTGACCATATGTGAAGTTGGGATAGGCCTCACCCAAGCGTCCAGCATCCTGCAGCTGAATCTTGAGCATTTCCATGGGACAGGTAACTACCACCTGGCACATTCCAGCCCCACATCCGGCTAGCATCTCCATCTTCAGGTTCCGCTGCATCCTGTGGGACCACAAGGCTCCTTCAGGGTCAGGCCAGTCCTGTCACACACACCCCCCCCCCCCCGGCTCATCGACCTTCCGCAGTGGCTGAGACTTTCCACTGATGGGAATTTTTTCCCTGTCACCACTGGCTGCCACCTACCCAGCTGGGTAATCACCCTGGTCTCTTTAAAGATCTGAGTCTAAATCTCAACCAGAGGCTGCTAGGGAGTGGGAAGCCGGCAACAGCAGAGTGACAGAAGTACCTGCTTCTCCCTGCTCCCTCATATCTTCTCTCTGGGCAATGGGAAGGGAGAACTTCAAACTGTTCTGGGGCTGATTTAAAACCTCATCAGCTAGTTGATGAATCTGTCTACTAAATATTCTCTATTCTCACTTGAAGATATTGCCTATCTCCCAAATTACACTCGCTCTTTCTGTTCCTTTACATCTACCCACCCAAACACAGCAACCCTCTGCCATAGGTGTGCCTATATTTAAACACATTCAGACAGGCAACTGAGGCATGTTTGCAAGGGCTCTCTGGCCCGCCGCAGCCCGGCCATACCTGTCTTCCATGAGCAGGTGCCGGAAGAAGTCGTTGGCTGCCAGCTTGATGGCCTTCTCCGGGGTGACCAAGGTGAGGTTCACTGCGGCCCCTGATAGTGAGGAACAGGGGTGAGCAGCTGCAGTCCTCCCCGGGGACAGCTCCCCGAGGCTGCAGCAGGGCTCCTTGGCCTATTTCACTTAAACAGAATTTTTTTTCATACCTCCCTCTTTGTTACCCATCTGTTTTCTTTCTGGACTTCTGCATCCAGTTATCAGGAAGTCGTCTTTTTTTTTTTTTTGGTTGTTTGAGACAGTCTCACTATGTAGCTCAGGCTGGCCTAGAACTCACAGCAATCCTCCTGCCTCAGCTTTCCAAATGCTAGGATTACCGATGTGCACCACCATGCCCACCCCAGGAAGTCATCTTATCTTTCTCCTGTCTACCTCCCAACAGTGAACCCCAAGGACAGGGACAGGGTTTCCACCACACCATCCAGGCCCACAGGCTGCTGAGTACTTCCCATAGTTTTTGGGTTTTTATTATTATTTTTTGTGGTACTGGGAATGGAACCCAGGGCTTCTCACTGGGGTATAACCCTATCCCTTTTAGTTTATTTTGAGACAGGGTCTTGCTAAGTGACCCAGGTTGGCCTTGAATTTGGGGTTCTCTCACCTCAGCTTCCCGATAGCTAGGATTACAGGCGTGTGCCACTGTGCCTGGCCAGGGTTTTTGGGGGTTTTTTTGGTACGAGGGATCGAGTTCAGGCCCTTGAGCTTGCAGGGCAAGCAGCAGAAGCCCTGAGCTAACCCCTGGCCCTGCCCAGGTATTCCTTTTCTTTCTCAAGGGAACTGGTCGTTAGCTCTCCTCAGCACTAGCCTTGGGCCCATTTTCCAAGGCCCATGCATGGGGATGCTGCAGGGACAGCAGCAGGGCAGGATCTGATCAGGAAGAGCTCAGAGCCCTCTCCATCCGGACCCTGTCAGCCTTTCCCAGCAGCAGTGGGAGCTGCAGAGGGGAAGGGAGGTGGGAGGGAGGGAGCCAGGCTAGGGCTCACTTGCTTTAACTTCACACAGTGAGCTAGGTCTGCTCACAGGAGGCTGAGGCAGAAGGATTGCAAGTTCAGGCCAGTCTGGGACACTTAGCAAGATGCTGATCAACACACACACACATACACTGAAGCAGTGGTAGCGCCTGTAGGGAGCCGAGACTCCTGAGCCCCAGCATGGCTCACTGGTGACTGGGGAAGCCTTACCAGGGAACAGCTGCCTCTGCCTCCACCAAAGAAGGCACGGTCAGCATGGTCCAGGGTCACTTGGCAGCCCAGGCCCCATCCCAGCAGCTCTCTGGGCAGACGGAACACCCATACCCAGTGTGGTATCCATTTGCAGGGCCTGAGCGTCTGGGCCGCCTGACTATCCTCACCATACCCAGGCCAGGCCTCCCTGGGAAGCCCCATCAGCCCACCTCGGTACATGCCGAAGAAGCCCTCCAAACGTGCTGTCTTCATTAGGCAATCCATCCTGGAAGCAGAGGCCAGAAGAGGATGTCAGGAGGCTGCTCCATCTGCCACATCTCCCCTGACCTCCCTGCACCTACATTCCTTTGTATGTGTCTCTCCCATGCTGGTTCTGCAGCCGTGTCTTGGCCAAGTCGATGGGGAACACGCAGGTCACCCCCACGAGCCCTGCCACTCCTCCGTTGATGAGTTTGGCAGCGAGGCTGGGCCACAGGAAGGAGAGAAGCTGTGTGAGGGAGGACCAGAGCCGGGTGCGGCCGAGAGGGACAGGACAGTGGGAACAGGGCTGAGAAAGGTGGGAACGGCAGCCCTCTCCTCAGCCGCCCGCCCCAACCTGCTGCCTTTCCCTGGCCACACTGTGGCATCTGCCCCAGCCCAATGGAGAAGTGACTACTCCCCCCCCCCACCCCACCCCCCGGGACCCACAGGGCTTCTGGGAAGAGGCCCCGACAACCCCACCTTCAAGGCACTGGCAAGCCCCTGTGGCTTCCTCTTTCTCTGGAGCTGCCCCAGACCCTGGTCTCTGGCTTCTCCTCACCCTTCAGCCATGTGTGCAAAAGCTTCCAAACATTACAGCTTTCTTTGGGGCTTCAGCTCAGACAGAACTGAGTGAGAATCCTGCTGTGCCATTTGCCAGAGCAAGTTACTACACTTCCCTGCATGTCCCATTCCCCAAGCTATTGACAGTAACTAGAGGATGAAGGCTGCTAGTCAGCAGGAGATAACCAGGGTTCAGGTACTGAGATTATCTAATTCTAAGCAAAGTAAAAAGAAAGCAAAACTAGATAAAGTGAAAAAAAAAAAAAAACAACTAGATAAAGTGGACCCTATGTCCTGGTTAAGTATGGGAGTTAGGAAGATGGAACACGGACAAAAAAATTTCTCAGGCTTCATGGAACATGGTACAATTTCCTTATCTATTAGGCCAGAGGCAGACATGGGGAAAATATCTGGAGACAGATTATCTGGAAGTGGTCAAGTAGATAATAGTAGGTTTCCTCACAAAGGAACCTTGATAAGCAAACCAGAAACTGTGACAACAAATAGGATTGTGTTTTAAATTCTGCAACCTGAGAAAATGCATCCAATTACAACCTATGTTGAACAATGCATATTTGTGCATTTTTTGTGAGGGGAACTTCATACATAAACTTGGGGAAATGAGTCTCACTTGCTTTCCTTTCCAATTCAGCTTACTCTTCAGGATCTGTTTGATTTTTGAGACAGGGTCTTGCTGTATAGTCCAGGCTGGGCTTGAACTCAGTTTGGAGCCCAGGCTGGGCTCGAACTCAAGGCAATCCTCCTGCCTCAGCCTCTCAAGTGCTGCTACTACAGGCAAGCGCCACCACGATCATATTCCTCAGGATCTGGAGATGTTGAGCAACTCTTCTCCACACCAGTCATCCCACCAGAGCTTACCTCAAATCCTGGCTGGACATTTTGCAGGGGATGGGGGCCACTGGTGGGCTGCAGGACACAGGGCTAATGGCTCCTGGGGAGCAGGAAGAGCTGGTACCTGACAGGACAATGGACAGTCATGAGTTAATGTACCAGCTTGCTCTGGTTTTTGCCCTTGCTCGACCTTTTGGACTTTTGGGATCAGATAAGAAGAAAGGAGGAAGAGAGAGAAGGCTAAGAGCACCACACTGCATGGGGTCCTGAATTCACTTCCCAGCACCCCAAAATCTTATTGAATGGCAGGTATTAGTGAACAAGACTGTGGTCCCAGCTCTCAGAGACCCGAATTGTAGAGGAGATGGATCATAAACAAGATAAATGAAGCCAGAAGATACCAGAGACTGGTAAATACTATGGAGAAAGCAATTCTGAAGGGGCTGGGGAGCAGGAAGTCAGTGGAGACTTAACCAAGGATTCACCGCGTAGCTGACCTCGGGAAGTGAGGCGCGCATCACGTACGTGTCGGGGAGAGCACTGAGGCAGAGCAAGCAGGGTGGTGGTGTGGCTCAGCAGCAGACTGGGTGCTTAGCATGCATGAGGTGCTGGGTTCCATCCCCAGCACTGCCAAAAATGAGGCAGAGCAAGCGCAAGGCTGAGCACAGAGTGAGTACCGGGAGCTGAAGCCCAGCGAGGAGGCCAGTGAGGGAGACCCAGTCATGGCGGTGATGGCTAGGGCCTGACCACGCCGGGCCTCTCACTTTTTCTTCTTTTGCAATGCTTCGAGGCTCGTGCACATCAAGCAATCGCTCCACCACTGTGCTACACGCTGGCCCTTTTTAAATTTTATCCTGAGACAGGGTCTCACTAAGTTTTTAAGGCTGGCCTCGGAATTTCAATCCTCCTGCCTCAGCCTCCCAAATAGCTGGGATTACAGGTGTGAGAGTTTTGAGCTGAGATATGACATGCTGTCAACAGGCTTGGCTTGGATGCTGTGAGAGCAGATTGCAGTCAGAGATGCTATTGCAGTGATGGAGGAGAGGTGCGGGGCTGCCCAGGAAGGGGGAAGGATTTGAACTGAGGATATGTGTGGAAGGCAGGGCACTTAGGCCTCCCTGATGGGCCAGATGAGAGGGAAAAGCAGTTCAGGTGCTGTGGAAGTTTTTGGTGGGAGCAACTGGAGGAATGGGTTTGTAACATGGAGTGTGGGTCTGCCAGCAAAAAAAAGGAAGGATATTTGCAGAGAAAGATTCAGAAAAGGGAAACAAGTACATTGGAGGAGAAATAGGCAGGGCCGGGGCATAAAGCTCAGGCCTAAAGTGCTTACCTAACATGCTCAAGGCCCTAGATTCAATCACCAAAAAAAAAGAGGGAGACATTAATTAATCTTGCTTCCAGTTCATTCCAGTGTCGCTGCATCCTCACCCCACCCTAAAGCTGGAAGCCAGGGCCCTGTGCAGGCCAGGCCAGCACTGACACTGGGCCACACCAGCCCCCAGATTTCCTGACCTTGGAGTCTGAGACACTCAACTGTCCTGGTGCCTCACTGCACATCTTGTGAGAATGGTTTTCTGAAACTTTTAGTCAAGAGTCTGATCCCCAAAATTTGCATTAGGAATGAGAATTCACATTACAGCCCCCTGAGTCTGGGGAGCCACTGCCACCTCTTGAAGCTTGAACTGCATGCTTCTAAAAGCTGGGGCTTTGGGGCAGTTGGTCACAAAATGTGAAGGAATCAGTGTCTCCCCTGTTCCTTGAGACACTCAGGAAGTTGTTAAGGGAAGAAGATACTCCTTTTTTGGGGGGGGGGGCTGCTTTAAAGATCAATAGGAGGTCCAGGGGTGGAGCTCAGGGGTAAAGCCCTTGGCTGTCATGTGTGAGTCTCTGCTCCATCCCCAGCACTGCAGGAAAAAAAGAAAAAGAATGAACCCTTTCTATGGGAAGTCAGAGTCAAGTGAGTGAGAACATTACAGCTGCTCTTGCAGATTTCCTGCATGTATGTATGTATGTATTTGTTTTTGAGACAGAGTCTCGCTATGGTTTTTAGTCCAGCCTTGAACTCTTGGTGAGCCTCATGCCTCAGCCTACTGAGTGCTGAGATTACAGGTGTTTATTTTCAGAGAAAATTTTCTATGTTAGAATCCATAGTTTCCTGACTATTGGAATAGGGATGTTTAAGAGAAGCCTGAAAACTCAGGGACACCCCAGATCCAGGCCTGCTCCACAGCACCTCCAACTCTCAGGAGTGTTTGCCTGGTGGGGTGTGTGTGGCTGAGACCCCCCAGCTCAGCCACCTGAGACTGTAGCAAGCCACTGGAAACCCCAGTCCTGGAAGATCCCATTAGCAGATTTAGGTGTCCAAAGGCTAAGAGTTGAGAAGGCTTCTGGTACCAGTTAAGATATTAGAGAATACTCAGCAGAAGAAAACTGATAGCCAGCCCCAGGTTTTGTTTGGTTTGGTTTTGTTTTTTGAGACAGGCTCTAACTCTGTATTCTGGGCTGGCCTTGAATTCATGACCCTTTTGCCTCAGTCTCCTGAGTAGCTGGAATTACAAGCATGTGCCACTACACTCAGCTCAGCCCCAATTTTTATTGTTTTTTTGTTTGTTTTGCCTTTGTCCTGAACTATATCCCCAGCCCTGTAAATGCTGGAATTACAGGCCTGCCCTGCTGCCCTGAATGCGGCTTCAGCGGTATTAAAGGATCCAAGTTTCCGGGAAAATCCCAAACTCAACAACAGGATCCAAGATGGCTGTGCCTAAGTCAATCTGTAGGCCCGAATGTTAGTCATTCTATTAACTAACCCTTGAGTACCTACAGAGTACCAGAGGCAGGCCAGGCAGCAAGGACATAGCTGGGGACAAAAACAAGATCACTCTCTTCAGAGAACTGAAATTCTACTGGATCCAGCACAGGAATGGACTTCTACAGTGATACAGGGCTTGGGGTGCCACTTAGTGGTAGAGCCCTTGCCTAGCACATTTCCCTCCCCAGGACTACAACTGAAATAAAATAAGCTGGGTGTGGTGACACATGCCGGTAATCCTAGCACAGGGTCTGGCTATGTAGTTGAGGCTGGCCTTGAACTCACTATGTAACCACACATAGCCACACACTATCCTGTGTCTTCCCCAGCAGCACTGCTGGGCCACCCCAGCGCCATCCAGCAGTGGATCTCAGCCTCAGGCCAGGCTGCTCAGGTCTCCCTTGGGGGCAGGAGCTGAGTGGGTGGATTTGAGCTGAGGCACCCTTATGCCTCCTTGCAAATGCCTTGCTTCCTTACCAGGGTGCTCGGGACAGGTTCTACTCACTCCCTGCCCCACCGCCCAGAGGACATCACAGTCTAGCACCTAAGTCTTGCTCATACTGTCCCTTTCACCCAGGACACTCTTTCCTCATTGGACTTTTTTTTTTTTGGTACCGGGGAGTGAACTTGGGACCTTGTGCTTTCGAGGCAGGTGCCAGAACCATTGAGCTAAATCCCCGGCCCACGGACCTTTGATGAATTGCAAACCTGTTCTTTGGGCTTCGGCTGGGAAGTCACTTCCTCCTACAAGCCTATCTGAAGTCCTCAGATCTTAGCCTGGAGCCTTCTGACCACACACTGACTGGCGTGTTGCAGTAACCTACGAACCTACATCCCATCCACATGAGAAGTTACTTGAGAATCAAGACAGTCTTAAGGCTACATCTCAAGGCTTTAGTACAGAGAAGTGGCCAACAAATACTGTTCAGTCAGTGAATGAGGAAGGCAATGCTCACCTTTGACCTGGCAGTCCTAGCACGGGACAAATGTACTCTTTAGCGGCCCCCATTTCTTCATATGGTGAGGAGCTGGGCTGGGGGGTCTAAGGGATGAGGTCCATGCCCAGGGTTGTCTCAGCTGGGCCAGCAGAGCAAGAGACCTCTCTCAGGGAGTAGCCCCTCATGCTGGCAGCCAGGAGCCACTCTGGATCATTGGCACTGATGTCAGCTTCCTGGCCTGGAGGTTGCCTGGAATGCCCCAGAGTCAGGGAGCAGCCATGTCCTCCTGCCCTTTTTGGCTCTGGGCAGCAGGTGCCCACTACCTGCTCTTTCCTTTCTCCAACTATTTATTTGCTAGGAGTCTTCTACCAAGTCCAAGCTTGACACACAGACAAGATCAACACTTACCTGCTTGTAGGAAGAAACTTCTGCCTTTTCTGGAACCCAAGCCAGAAGCCAAGTTATGGCACCGCAAGGAACAGCAGGTTCCCGACACTGGGCAGGTGGATCTGCTTCGTCCTTGGTAATTACTAAGCCCTTCTCCTTCCTCACTGTACCTTCAAACAGGCTGTGTAGAATCAACTCTCAAAGAGCCTCCACACCACTAAGCCCAAGCTCCCAGGCCACAAGCATGTGGCTGTTTAACTTGGTTGCTAGTGTGACTTTGAAAGTTCAGGCTGCAAGTGATTTGACCAAGGCAGTGTAGAGACTGAAGGGAGACTCTCCACCCACTCAGAGACCTGGAACCAGGGAAGTGGACAAACAAACGGAAATCAATGCAGTGGAAACACTTTTACAAAACACTTGGTGTAGGGCCAGGGATTTAGCTCAGTGATTTCGCCGCCTGCTGCGCAAGCGCAAGGACCAGAGTTCAATCCCCTGTACCAAAAAAAAAACAACAAACACTCGGTGCCTGAGCTCTTGTTGGTGCGTGGGTCTCACGCATTCCTTTCCCTCAGTGCTGGGGGTGGAACCCAGGGCCTGCACACACTAGAAAAGCACTCCACCACTGAGCCACACCCTGGGCCCTATGCAAATTTTAAATTGCAGCTAATGGACACTGCAATGTCCTATAAGGCCCTGCATGCAGGGAGACAGGCTTTGTTCATTCAGCAGGGATCATCTGTGGGAGGGCTGCCTGTTGTTTGCCACCTCGCCTCTCTCCAGAACGCGACTATTGAGTCAGAGCTGTAGGAGCTCAAGATTGGCCTAGGATTTCTTCCAGTATGGAGAACTGTGGTTTCAGGGAGAAAGTGGCAACTGGTTTGGGTTGGGAAGGCCAGCTAAATGGCAATGGAGCTGTAGGAGCAAAGGTAGAGGTAAACTGACACTCAGCTTCTCTTCAGTGGCAGATTGTCTAATCTGGGGCAAGGGATGAGATAGTAGGGGAGTAACACTGGCAAGCCACTCTGCGTCTAGGTGCAGGGCCAGGGATTTGGGAGCAGTGGGGAACTGACCCTGGACAGGTTAGAGGCAGAGCCAGGTCCAAACCCCAGCTCCCAGTTACTGCCCATCTCCTTTTAGGCAAGTCACTCACTGAGGTGCTTTCCTCACCTAAAGGGTATGAGGTACTAGGTTTAGGGTGAGGATTAAATGACTGCTTTTGAACTGGTGTGAATCCCGCTTTATTGCTGGCCAGCTATGACCTAAGAGTTACCTTATGAACATCTATGAGCCGGCACTCAGCCTGGATGCAGGCCTCGTGGTACAGTGCCAGGCATGTGAGAAGGGGCCACTGTGTGGACATTTTCTTCTTTCTCTGGTGCGTAGTGGGAAGCTGGCTCAGAATGCCAGTGAACACGGCATAAGGGCCTGTGGGTGTTTAGGACAGGGAGAGGACAATAATCTAGGCAAGAGGTAAAATTCGAGGGCCACGGATTTAGCTCAGCGGTTTTGCTGCCTGCTGTGTAAACGCAAGGACCTGAGTTCGATCCCTGGTACCAATAAAAAAAAAAAAAAAAAAGAGGTAAAATGAGAGCCTATACACATGGGGAAGAGATGCAAATGGCTCATGGCTCTAGAGAGGAACTGATGGGCTTGGCAGACCACACACACTGGGGACAGCAGGAGGAAGACACTTGACATCCCAGCTATGACATCAGCAGTGTGTTAGGAGAGGGTCGGGAGAAGTTTGGCTGTTGGCCTGAGTTTAAGGTGGCAGTTGCAAAAGAGGGGATGACAATGCACAAGAAAGGGCGGTGCCTTTTCACACCCATCAAGATGGTGACTATGAGGGGATGGGGATGTAGCTCAGTGGAGCCAAGCAGGCAAGGGCAATGTCCTGAGCGATCCCTGGTACAAAGAAGGAAGGAAGGAAGGGAAAGGAAGGAAGGAAGGAAGGAAGGAAGGAAGGGAGGAAGGAAGAAAGGGAGGGAAAGGAAGGAAGGAAGGAAGGGAGGAAGGGAGGGAAAGGAAGAAAGGAAGAAAGAGAAAAAGAAAGAAAGAAAGAGAAAGAAAGAAGAGCAAAATGTGGCTTTTAGATGCAATAGACTATTACTGAGCTCTAAAAAAGAAGAGAACCCCATAAAGGCTGTGACATGGATGGACCCGAAGGACACTGTGCTAGACACAGAGGACAAATACTATGATTCCACTTATACGGAAGCACACAGAATGGTCAAATTCAGAGACCACGAGACAGAAAGTGAGAAGTAGTTATCAGGTGCTGAGGAAACAGGAGAATGAGGAGTGTGTTTTAAATGGGTACAGTTTCACCTGGGGAACAGGAAAATGTTCTGGAGATGGATGTGGTGATGGTCCCACAAGATGAGTGTACTAAATGTTCTTGAAATGTAAACTTAAAGTGGAAAATTTTATATTTGCATATTTTACCACCATAGTAAAAGAGGGCTGGGGGTATAGCTCACTGGTAGAGCTATCGTGTGCCTATCATGTGTGCTAGCCACACAAAAAATAAAATAAATACAGGAAGCAAGGTGAGCAATGAAATAAAGGGGTCACATTTAAATCTAAACTGGTGGCACAGGGAGGAGACGGGGAGGTATCATTATTAATAAAAATTTTAATAGTACAGTTAAAAAAAGATATTAATAGTACAGTTAAGAAAGGACCTTTTTTTGTGGTACTAGGTTCAAACTCAGGGATGCTGTACCTCTGAACTTAGTATATCCTCAGCCTTTTTTGAGAGTTCTTGCTAAACTGCCTAGGCTGGGCTTGAACTCGTGATCCCCAGCACCTAAAATGAATAAAACAGTAGCAGACAAAACTAAATCACAAATAATGGCAGCAGAACATTTAGGTAGCAATGTCCAGTAGTAATTTGGAAAAGGTGACCAAAGAATGGCAGGGAAGGAAAGGGAGCCAAAAACTGGGCACAGTGGTGCACACCAGTAATCTCAGCACTCTGGAGGGTGACACAGGAGGGCCGTAAGTTCAAGTCCAGCCTGGACAACTTAGTGACTTCTGAAGATCTTGTCTCAAAAAATAAAAAGGGCTTCGTAGGCACAAGGTCCTGAGTTCTATCCCTGGTACCAAAAAAAAGGGCTGGAGATGTATTTCAGTGCAAACCACCACTTCCTGGGTACAAGAGAGTGTCCGCTTTGGTGAGGGGGATGTTACTGTGTTACTAGCAGGAAATCTTAAAAGGCAGAAAAATTTAAAAAGGGTTAAGATTTGGAAGAGCATATAAGAGAATATAGCAAGTAGCCTCCCTCATAAACAGCGCAGCCTTCCTACTCTCAGGGTGGTCCTGTGAGAGCCGTCTCTAGTGTCTGTTAGAAATGCAAAGGCTCAGGCCCTTCTCCAGTTGTGGTCTCATATGAGATCGCCCATGACAAGGCACACAGTCGAGGTTCTGAGGCACTATTCTGGACAGTGGTTTACAACCTTGACTGCACAAAATAATTTACCTGGAAAGCTTTAAAAAATCTTGATGCCCCTGGTTTACTACCAATAAAAATGATGTATCTTGGGGAAGGGCACTAGGTGTCTGGGGTTTTTTTTTGGTAGTACTGGGGATTGAACCTGGGACCTTGTGCTTTTGAGGTAGGTGGCAGAACCACTGAGCTAAATCCCTGGCCCTGGGTTTGTTTGTTTGTTTGTTTTTTTAAAGCTAAAACAACCCTTATCAGGCAGCCCAGACTGATTTGACAATCACTGGTTAGGATGGCAAAGCAAAACATGAGCTCCCTGCAAATTTATTGACTGAACTGCTCTGCAGCTGTGGAAGTCGGCACAGGAATAAGGACCAAGTTGTCAGGCAGCACAGTGCAGCGAGCACAGGATGGCAGACAGTGCTGGCCAGCTAGGCAGTGGTTGGCCACTGAAAGTAGACCTAGCGTGAAATCTGACAGAGCAAAGTGGGAGGGCCCAGGTGGGGTGGCCTGGAAGGCAGGTCAGAGTGAGGTGTGGAGGCAGGATGGGGAAGGAGTAAACTTGCCCATTTTGCAGCCATTCTTGTGCTGTGCTCCTTTGCCAGGTATGGAACAGAGGGACCTCCATTACCTTTATTCTGTGTTAACCAGCAGCACGGGGGTGAATGGCCTAGTTCATCCGATGCAGTGCTACCTATCAGGCAGGTTTCAATGAGATACTCAGCTCAGGGCTAAGGACCGAGCACTGACACCAGGCCATTCCCCAGGTCTATGTTCTCAAACTGTAGGGGTCACTGGAACCACCAAAGGGCTGCTTACAACAGGTTCCTGGGCCCTGTGTCTGATCAAACAGGTATGAGGGTTGCCATAAGGTGCATGGGGGTGGGTAAGACAGGGTCTTCTATGTAGTTCAGGCTGGCCTTGAACTATGTACCCCCAGGCTGGCTCCAAACTTCCAATCTTCCTGCCTCGGCCTCCAGAATACTGGGATTACAGGTGTGTCCCACCTCGCCCAGCTCAAGAATATGCATTTCTAAGAAGTTCCCAAGTGATGTTAATGCTGCAGGTCCAGGACTACTTTTTTTTTTTTGGTACCAGGATCAAACTCAGGACCTTGTGCTTGCGAGGCAGGCGTCAGCACCACTGAGCTAAATACCCCACCCCAGGACATTCTGACAATCACAATAGGTCATATAATCACGAAATGTTAAGGGAGCTGCAGTCGCAGGGATGTGTGTATCACTTGTACCACCATCAATTCTCTAGTTCTCCAGATCTATGCCAAGACTCTAGGAGATGTTCCTTTAGTACTACACTGGGTCTCATAATTACTGCTAGCTGAAAATTTTGAACTGTCATCACCATTTTAGGTTTGGTTAAAAACAAGACTAAGTATGAGTGCTGCTCGAACAAGCTATGGAACAGCAGTCCCTAACTGGACACTTCCTCTCTGGCTTATATAGTAAGCTCTGTCCAATTAAACTGATTAGAGGAAACAAAAATCATTCCTTAATGTAATAGTTTAAGCAGTGTACTCTTTTTAGCACCTTACTGTATCCAGGTTTTCTGCAGCTTGCATTTTTCCCCCTCTTCATTATGAACTCTGAACAGAGGAAGCTATTTTTTTGCTTTTGTATTCTCGTTGGCCAGGCGAAGCGCCAGGCACGCTGTGGGTACTTGGTAAGTACAGTCATTCCCTTGTACCCATGGTCTCTGCACCTATAGATTCAGCTGTGAACCAAAAATATTTGGGAAAAAAAGTTTCATTTGTACTGAAAACATTTTACTATATTTCTCTTAGTTTCTAAACAGCAGTTTACTTATATAGCACTTACACTGTATTAGGTATTATAAGTAATGGAGATTAAAGTACACACAGGAGGATGCAAATAGGTTACATGCAAATACTATGCCATTTTATAGAAGCAACTTGAGCACCTGTGGATTGGGGGCATCCGGGACCAATCCCTAAGACACTGAGGGACAACAGTACTCACTGAAAGCTTGATTGCGAGTTAGTCAATCTTCATCTTAGTTCCTGGTGCATTCTCAGGCCAGGCTTCACTTGAATCTTGTCTTTGGCTTCCCCCTAAAAACTCAAATTCCTTCTCAAAGCAAATCCCTGAATACAATCCAAGGAACTGTTTCCCTTTCTTTCAAAAATTTTGTCCGGTTTTAACAGGCTTCAATAGGGCAAATCATCCTGGTCATTTGCTGTCTCAAATGAGGTTCAAGTTCAGGATTCTAGGAGCAAGCTGCGGTTTTCCAAACCTGAAGTGGCCTCTAGGGCAGCCGCATTGCTATGCCTGTCATGGATGCAGAAGGGGGTGGGGTCCAATACACAACAGCCAAATCTGGGCACTTTCCAGCTGCCTTCTTGGCTAGCCATTCAGTTTATTTTGCATTAAAGGCTTTGTAAAAATTGCCTAAGAAAACTAAAGGAGCCTTGATAGCAGAAAGGGGACTAAAATAAAGACATGAAAGTCCTTCTAGAAACCCAAGGGAAGGCCAAGAGGTAGGGAAAACAGATCTGCAGGGCCAAGCAACAGAGTGCGGAAGGGCGCTGATTGCAAGGACTTCCACAGTGTGGACACTCAGAGCTCTGTCTCTACGGCCGAGCTGGCAGATAATCCGGCCGCCCAGGAGGAAGGGGTTGGTGGCCTTCTGCCAGAGGCACCTCTTGCATAACAACTCCATGCCACAGGCCATTCAACTCTCCAGATGATTCCAGGCAGAAGGGTGGCCTCCAAACTCCTGATTATTTTCTCAACTCAGCAGTACTCACAAGAATGTAGGGATGAGGGCGAAACGGCAAGGAGAGGGTCTACTTGTTTATAAAATTAGTGTTCTAGTAAGAATTTGTTTAGAGACAAGACACTAATCTTTATGGAGAAGCACCACCTCTGGATGTGTTCAAAAGTCAAAATGGACAGGTGTCTAGAACTTGAGGACATGTCCACAGTAGGAGTACCTTCTGTTCTTCCCTAAATCGCACCACGATTGCTTCTCCTGTTTATGAATGAAGCTCCCGGTATAGAATATTTGTGTAAGCTATGTTACCTACAGGGGCTAACAAGTTTTAATGTCAAAAAATAACAATTGGGGTTTCCTAATGATTTCTCAAGTTGATTTTTGTCTTAGAAACGATATTATTTGTTACTAACCTAGGAAATGTGACTGGCATTTTATAGAATTGCTTTTTATGGAAGAATAACTGAGCTGGAAAGTTTTAAAATAGCAGTTGAATGAAAAGTCTCAAAAATGGCAGCCATAAAGTGTATGAGTAGGGATAATTTGACACCACACAAATGGACACTGGAAGATGTCATTGCCTTAGAAAGCGATAAAACCCAACAGATTGTGAAAATGGTGCTATTGTGGTTGGAATTTTATGGCACAAGGGTTAGTAGATTACAAGACTAATTCTTTGAGGGTGAAATAGGAGCTTTGGTGTTTTAAGATTACAGCTAACTAAAGAATGTGTCTTATTTTCCATCTTCCACTCCTTACCTACCTTTTAACAAAAAGCCTCCCAGGAATTAGAAATTTAAAAATCTAGGCAAGTATGAAAGCACTTTTTTTTGGTACTGGGGATCAAAGTCAGGACCTTGCACTTGTGAGGCAGGTGGGGGGAACCGCTGAGGTAAAATCCTTGGTCCCTGAAAGCACCTTTCTTAATTTATAGCCCTTATTTCAGGCCACCTGTGATTTAGATGTTTCACTCGGGAGCTGCCTGGGGCTCCCATTATTGACTGGATCCTGCCTGCCTTGCCAACTAGATTCTGGAAGGAGACCAAAATCACTGTAGCACACTGTAGGAGACACTCACAAGAGGACCCTGCCCCTTCTTGGGTGATGCATGACTTGGGTGGTGGTGGGATGCACGAGGTGGGTGTCGACGGGAAGCGTTGTGAAGAATTATTTTGTTCTTGATGTGTTTTAGCATTGCCTGATTACTGTTTTAATCTCTTGGGTGATTTTGTAGTTATCCCTTGTAGCGGGTCGACTGTCATACATACACACACACACACACAGACACACACACACACACACTTCTTGTTGTTGTTGTTATTGTAACTAGGGATTGAACCCAGAGCCTTCGCACTGAGCTACATCCTCAGCCTTTTATTATTTTGAGTTGTGAAGAACAGGCTTGAATTTGTGATCCTCCTGCCTTACCCTCTCAGAGTGCTGGGATTATAGGCATGTGCCACCACGTCCTCTCCTCCCCAGACCCTTGACCTTGATGTGTCAGAGCTGAGATGGAGAGCACACTTCTACATGATGCATTATGTCCTATTTCAAACCCTTATCCTATGGAAGTCTGAATTTGCTTTGCCCTGCTGATAAAAGGGACACATAGACACACACCAGTCTTGCTGCTTTAAGAATGTACTTTATACAAAATAACCAGTTCATATGGAAATAAATCTACAGACCTCCAAGGCTCAAAAAGCTTTTTAAAAAGTTCTTTTAACAAATTATCCAATACACAATATTGAACTAACTATTGAGGTAAGTGTCGCTCTCAGTGAAACAGGGAATCAGCAGA